GGTAAATATGGAGGATGCTAAGTGATATAATTTAATGCCTAATATAAGAAAATGAATAAATATTATTATAATCGCTGTCGAGTATTTTTAATGTAATTATTATTTATTATTTATTTTGAGAAATTAATCTATGCATTTATTTTAAATAATAGGTGTTGATTTAACCGTTTTCTTTTAAATTTTAATATTTTTATGTTCATGTGTCTTGACTTGGGTAAGGATTATAGCTTTTAGGAAATTTAAAAATCGGCGTAGATTTATATTTTGGCAAAATTCGATAGCGGCATTTTCAAGAACCTTTTTTGTCTAATTAAGTTATTTTTATCTTTTAACAAGTGTGGTCTTCTTTACATCGACGTACTTATTTCTATGTATGTCTGACGAATCTGATAAATTGCCATGTATAAGATATATTTTGTGTTCATAGACATGTATTTCTAATTCTGAAACATGTATATATAAAATAAACTGTTACAACTGTTACTTACAATATACTGGAGAAATGTGCAGAAATCTGAAACTGTTGAAACTTGACTAATGCATGGAATAATAATGCAACACAAAATGTACTTAGAACAAAATGTATTGAAACAAGAAAATGTACACAATATTTACATATAGTCTTTTGTATATTCCTGGTAAGACCGTTCCTGGAGAATGTGTTGACTGAGTCGCAGTCGGGCAGAGTCTCTGGTTGAATCTCTTGATTCTAACCTCTCTTCCCGGTACCAACCATATTTATATGGTCGGTACTCCACTATGCAAATTAGGTGGATCCTAGGACAACAGAAACAAATGTATCTGTGGATGTTGAACGAACACATATGTGCTAGGCATCTGCACAAGGATTGTCTAGCCACACTCGCGAACGGTCAGCCATTATTATATATGGAAAGTAAATTAATGTAATATTCATATATCTTATGACTCAGAGCCAATCAACGCTTTAGGATTACATTAAATCAACTTAATTTATTAACCGAAATCATTGTTTTTAAAGAACAGTGTCTCTTCAGGACGTTTGCGATCATGACTCTTCATAGCTTCTTTCTTTTCTAGTTCTTTGCAATGTTTGTGTTTTTACTACCCCCCCTCTAATTTTCTCTCTCCGTCTTATCTCTAATATGTCCTGTGAGTTCCGAATTCTCCAAGCCATCCTCCACCATTTTATGTCAAAGAAATCTCAGCTGTCTCTTTCTGATTCTGAATACAAGCGTCCTTTTTGATTCCATTTACTTCAACGCATCTTAATGCTTATGCTCTTCGTCCATTCTTCTGTGACCTCAAATCTCATTTCTGTGACCTCAGATCTCATTTCTGTGACCTCAAATCTCATTTCTGTGACCTCAGATCTCATTTCTGTGACCTCAAATCTCATTTCTGTGACCTCAGATCTCTTCTTCATCTATGAGGAGATTGTGCAGCATTCACTGGCATATGTCGTTTAAAATACGTTACATAAAACAGGTTGGTATTTAGCGCGATCTATACTGTAACCAATAGCACCTCGTACTGGGTAAGACGTTAAACTACATCCGCCTCCTGGGTAAGACGATAAATTACGTCCAGAAGCAAAGCCCCAGATCAGGAGGTTTTGAGGAGCGTGATTTAATTGCTGGTGGCCCCAGGTCCACCCTGACTCGGGATGGTAGCACCTATTAGGGTCCCATCTCTGGGCAAATAGTTATTACCAGCAATACTTTTTTGAAAAAAATTATTACCAGCAATACAATTTTGAAGGAAAAATATTACCAGAAACAGACATTTGGCAAAACAAAATATTACCAGCAATAAAATATGCTGTCGACATTAAATAACCCATTGAGGTTGATATGCTGTAAAACAAAATAAACTAAACCAATATAAACCAAATACATATTCTATTCATAGAAATCTGTCCTAAAAATATTGTCGACATTAAATAACCCATTGAAGTTGATATGCCGTAAAACAAAATAAACCAAACCAATCTAAACCAAAGAATACATATTCTATTCATACGAATCTATTCTAAAAATCTTGTCGGCATTAAATAAGCCATTGAGGTTGATATGTCGTAAAACAAAATAAACCAGACCAAACCATAGCACCATCGTCTTACTGATGGAAAGGGTCACATTCAGGGCACACAAATTAATTAATGAACAATTATCTATTCAAGGATCTAGCTGTCGAGTTTTACATTGTAAGACTAACTAATGCTGAAGATATTGTGAAAATCGGGATTTTGAAGGATTTTACCGCCTGTGGTGCATTTGCGCTGAGGATTAACCCGAGGAAGACTAAAGTGATATTCACAACTCCCCCCGGTGTTCAATACAAAGACCGAACAATACTTTCGGAAAATACCAGGCTCGAGGTAGTTGACACTCTCCCATATCTAGGAAGTACTGATACAGATACAATCAGCTCAATCAAGGAAAGTTTATGTCATATATGCCTGATGCCTATGAAATCGAATGGTGGTCTCAAGAGTCATATTTTGAGGACATGGACTCTGAAACAAGACAGGAGCCATTACAAATTATGCCAGGCTTAGAGGGCGGCACTCGTCTGAGTAAGATGTGGCAATCACCATATATATATATATATATATATATATATATATATATATATATATATATATATATATATAAAAGAAATATAGTCTTAAGGTGTGCTATATTTATGGAATAAAGTGCTCAATATCAGAGATAGAGCGTGTGTAAATATGAAAGTGAACATAGAAGTCAACACTTAGAGGCGACAGTCTGTTTCATGCTATATGCAATCGTCAGGCCACATGTGCTGTTATTTTTTTACTACGTTAATAAATAAATAAAATAAGAAACAAAAAATAAAAATAAAAACAAGTAATATAATTTGACCCAAATAAATAAACAAACGACTTCCGGTAAAATAACCGCCATAATAGAATACCCACAATGCACCACTAACCCGCATATATCTAAATAGCCGAGAAAAATAACAGCATATGTGGCCTGACGATTGCATATAGCATGAAACAGACTGTCGACTCTAAGTGTTGACTTCTATGTTCACTTTTATATATATATATATATATATATATATATATATATATATATATATATATATACGTGTGTATGTGCGCGCGTGCATGTATGTATATGTACGTATTAGTGAGAGTCATAAGTAATATCTGTTTGGGAGGGAAGCGATTGTAATGACGAATGTATTATCCTAGCTACTAGTCATACGTGGCTATTAAGAATAAATTTGGAATACACTAACTTAGATTCTGGACGACAATCGCAGCGTACACAGTGTATTAAAGAATAAATTTCTTAACCCTACCAATATTGGGGGTGAAAGCAAAAGGTCATGGTAATTCAAGGAAGAGAACAACAATATGGAGACATCCAAAAATATGTAGTGTATATGGTCAAGGATTTCTTAACTGACCAGCAAATAAGAAATTGGCTTGCAAAATTTCGTTCTGGAGAAATGTCATTGATAGTCGATCTTTGGTTATGAAGTCATTAGTTTAAAGCAATCCACATCAAAGAACTTGAAATTAAGCAAAGATATTAAACACATCACAATCTACCATATACCGACAATTATAGACGTATTCTGGTCGTATAGGTTCCACACGCTCTTTGCGAAAAGGAACAATGTGGATATATATGAACTGGGATCAAATACAGATCAAATATGTATCAAGAATCTGACAGAATAATAAAAATAAATCATAAACTGGAAACGTTTATAAACCTAACATGTTTCGCTTTTACGGAAGCTGCATCAGAGAATGAGATATGGAAAAGGATTTTCTGACATTTTTTGAGTTGTTTGATTTTCATTGGTTAATTATTTTTTGAGTTGTTTGATTTTCATTGGTTAACCTTTATTAAATCAATTCTTAAAGAATCTAAGGTATACTTAACTACCACGACCGGTGTTGACGCACAAACCTCCCAAAATCAGCGTACGGACAACGTCCAAATATAAATAATGATTACTAGACTCAAACACGCACACACACACACACATACATGTATACATTATGTCCCGAATCTCGCATAGACTAACTAGAATTATGATATACTTAAACACATAAATTATACACACGAACGCTGCTTGGCCAGTCAAATGCACGAGAAGTCTACTTAGCCAATGATAATCAAAGAACAAAAAAAATACTAGGATAGTTTTCCATATCTCATTCTCCGATGAAGCATTAATAAAAGCGAAATATGCTAGATATATAAATGTTTTTTATTTGTTCTCTACATATATATATATATATATATATATATATATATATATATATATATATATATATATATATATATATATATATGTATAGTGTTAGGTAAATTAAATAACTAGATATTAGCAACCATATACACGCGTGTTGGCGTGCTATCACTGGAAAGTAAATAAATAATTTACCAATTTTTTGTCAAGAGGTGTAGGCATTATAGTGCTCGGTGTGGTTAGACAGAATTAAAAATATATATTAATAAATGCACATATACCTACGTTTAGTTTGAGACTTAAGTTTCGCTGGTTCGCGGGCACAAGATATAGCTTATTGTTTAAAATGAACAATAAGTAATATTTTGTTCCCCGACGGGTTAGTAACCAACGAAACTTAAGTCCCCAAACTAAAAATATATATATATATATATATATATATATATATATATATATATATATATATATATATATATATATATATATATATATATGGATATATAATGATTGGACAGAACTTTAAATCAACTGTTGAAACTTACGCTCGCTTCTCTTTTTGGCTGCCTGTCCTAATTTCCGTGTTTCAGTTTGTAAAGAATAAATTCGGGGTATATCTGGGTGTTATATTCGGCACTGCTGCCCAGGGATATAATGATGGCATTGATAATGATATTCGTCATCATCACCATGCCGATGAGGATGACGGCGATAATGATGATGCTCATTGATTTCAAACTGTCAGAAATGGGAAAACAGATATTTTAATTCGTAAAATTAGTATGCTGCGAAAAAAAAATAAGAAAAAAGATGAAGGTAAAATATATATTAATAAAAATTCAACAGTAAAATAATAAAATAACGCAAAAGATTACAAAGTGATGCTTAAATAAGAATAAAAAGAAACTTACATAACGTTAAAGAAATGAAGACATAAAATAAAATGGTAAAAAAAAAATGGCCGTTATAAATCGATGTGTTCGGTTTATTCAATCGAAAAACAATTTCATTCCAATAAAATGCAGAAGAGAGGCAGTGACGGGATAAAAATGATTGTAATTATATATCTTTCCCTTCCATAGACAAATCTAGCTTTGATGTGCAGCTCTGGTACGCGTTCAACGGCGCCTACCCCACGCTTACGTCCATTCATGGACATTAAAAAAAAAAAAGAAAAGGCTTTTATTTTTTTGCTATTTTTTTTTTTTTTTTTTTTTGGTTGAAATATTTTTCTATTGAAAATAAAAATGAAAGTGAGAAATTCTTTAAAATATACGTTTTCTTTTTTTTACAACAAAAGAAAAGTAAAAGATGTCTTTTTTTATTTCAGTTCTTTTCCTTTTTTAGTGGAGGGGTGGGGGTTGCTCACACACATGCAATGGATGGAATATTTTGGAGTCCTTCATTCACCTAATTTCTTCATTATGCGATTGAAAAGTTGATACTTTTGTTTCAATCTTTTCATTCATTTTTTTTCAATTTTAGTATATATATATATATATATATATATATATATATATATATATATATATATATATATATATATGTGTGTCTTTTTATAAGCAGTTTTGAGATGGCTAAGCAATAAGAAGAAAAAAAGACATTCAAATTTGTCTTCTTTTACCTGCTTTTTTCTTTCTCTAATTTTATTTTATTCTGCCACATCTTTTCCATCTTATTTTAAAAGTTTGTTTTTTCTTTCTAGTCTTCTTTTATTCCTCCCCCTCACCTTTGTTCTTCCTCTTTTTCTCTGATTTTTTCTCGCTGCATTTTTTACGTTATGCTTTCCGTTAGTTTTGAATCTTGTTCTATTTTTTTTTTAAATCATTTAAATTTTTTCAGTATTACTGTTCTTATAATTTCTTTAGCAATTTTTAGATAGATAGGAAATGAGAAAAAAAAAGAGGTCGTTTAAATTTTACTTCTACTACATACTTTTTGTTACTTTCCTAATATCTTTCGTTCTTTCTTTCATTTTATTTTACTCTGCCATATTTTGTACGCCTTTTTTTTTCTCTTTTCGTCTTCATTCATTATCTACTGTCTTTATCACTTTTTCTTTCGCACACACTTCTGTCTAAATGCCTTCATTTAAGTTTTCTAGCTAAATATTCTTTTTTTTAATTTTTTTTTTCCATTTATTTTCCCTTTTCCTTTTTACAGTGTTGGGATAGTTCATATTTCTGCATACTTCTTTTTTTTCCCCTATATTCATTATCCTTTTGTCAGCCAGACGTTTCAGTCTTTTTCTCTTCCTCTTCTTCTTTTGACTCACTTTTCTCTTTTTGACTCTTTCCCATTTTCAATGTTTAAATATTTTTATTTCTACTTTTCTTTACCTGTCTCGAATATTACTTTTTTTTTTTTATTATTTTCCTTCATTACATTTGTGTCCTTTTCGCTGACGTTCCACTCTTTTCATCTTCAGTATCCGTCACATTTTTAACACTTCTCATTTTGCCTCTCTCTCTATCTCTCTCTCTCTCTCTCTCTCTCTCTCTCTCTCTCTCCCACTCTTCATCTCGCCCCTCTCACTCTCTCTTTCCGAATTTTTTATCAACATTTCTTCTCTTTCTTTCATAGTTTATTACTTTTCTTTGTTTTTATCAACTTACTCACTCCTCTTTTTTCCTCTTCTTCTTCGCTTTTAATTTCTGCTATCTTTCTTTCTACTCTTTTTATCTCTCTTTCTTTCTACCATATCACAGTTTCTTTCTTTTTTTTTTCTTTCTTTCTTTATTCACCTCTACATTATCTTGTCTCTCTCTCTCTCCACCATACCTTTAACAATTCATTTCTCCTCTCTCTTTAAACTTTTCAGGTTTTTTAAAATATTTTCCGTACTTCTATCTATCTATCTATCTATCTATCTATCTATCTATCTATCTATCTGTCTGTCTATCTATCTATCTATCTATCTAACCTCTCTCTTTATCTCTATATTCTTCTCTCTTTCATTCTCTATTTATATCTTGATCTGTATCTATCTATATTTTTCTCTCTCATACTCTCGCTATAGATTTACTTTTCTCATTATCCCTCTCTTAATCTCGCTTTCCTTATTATTCTCTAATTTTCCTTTTAATCCCCCCCTTTTTATATGTTACCAATGCGCTGCTTATTTCTCCTCTGCCTCATATACAAGATCCTACCCAATGGCTTCGGGAACATTAACAGTAAGCACGAAACGAATATAGTACGGAGAATTGCCGTTACCCTTTGGTAGCGTGTGTAAAATAGTGTGCAAGAAGCGAGCAGAAGATTATTTCGAAGGAGAACGACTGAAAACTACATATCAGCACTTCGTATAATTTTGGGCAGAGTGAGATGACAAAGTGCGTAAAACCACATTTGCGTTAATTACTTTGAGTAAAAGCAGGGATTCAACTCTCCATACGCCCTCTGCTATTGCCTTTCATCATGTAGTCGAGACATCGATTCTTTGTTACTAGTGACTACTTCCTGAGCGACACTTAGAGAAATGATAATGGTAATGATAATATTAGCCGTTTCTCTATAAGGAAACATTTGGCATTCATTGACCGTGCAGCCAGTACTACTTTTGGTCGAAATTTATAAAATCTTTCTCTTAAAACAATTTTTCAGGAAAATAGGTTTATCAAATCCCGTAGCTGTTATTGCTCTTTCCAGTAATGGTTTAGGTTTCCGTCCTAACCTTTTATCTGAAGTAAAAAAAAATGGAAAAAAACAGTGAGAAATTCTTAATAATTTCTTGGGCAATGATAAATAGGAAATGAGAAAAAAAAGAGGTTACAGTGTAACCCGGATATAAGAGAGTTGTCGGGACGGGAAAAGAAGTCTCTTATATCCGGGTTTCTCTTATATCCGGGTTTGGTCTATTTTATATACATTAATACAGGCTCTAATTTGGGACCGGAGAAAATCTCTCTTATATCCGGGTTTCTCTCATATCCGGATCTAAATAATTTTTAAATAAATTTTACTTCTTTACCTTACTGTTTCTTACTTTCTTAATTTCTTTCGTTCTTTCATTCACTTCATTTTCCTCTGCCATATTTTGTAGGCCTTTATTTTGCGCTGCCGGGATTTTGCATGTTGATTATGAAGACAAGCAAGCATTCCTCATTTGGATGATAAGCGTAAAACCAAATTCGTACACTTGCATTTTACTCTCTGTATTGGCCGCTCTGAATCCCCTGTAAAAAGGGTAAATACCCCACCAAAAAGGGTCATCTTACGAGTGGCTATTTTTTATACTCATGTATAAACCCGACTAATATCTCCCTCTGTGACTCTCGTGTAAACTGTTTCTTTCTTTTCGTTTTTTTTTTTTTTTTTTTGATTCTCATGTAAACAGAACAAACATCTACCTTTTTGACTCCAATGTAAACAAGACCTACACGTACCATCTTGGCTCTACTATGAATCGGACCTATACTAGGAAGGAGAAACCCATCATACCATGTTTCTCAGTCTATTCATTGTCCTTTTTGTCTTTTAAGACTTTCCATCGAAATTGAATAACACAACAATGTTTTATATGTTATTTAGAAAGCTAACCTAACTTCTGGGTTAGACATTGTTCAATAAATACTTTGGACGGATGAATTAAAGTGATAGCTACTGAGGTCATGTACCACAGAAATAACTTGTCCACCTGTGAAAAGGTCTTTCAATCTTCACTTTGAAAGTTCCGTAGAAATATCTATAGAATAACTTTATGACTAATGTATTAAAACTCAGTTTCAGTATGTGAAAACATACAAGTACCCAACCTACCCCCGGTCTCAAAATCCATGTAAAGGGGTAGAAGAATAAAAAAATAAAAAACATATGGCCAACTCTATATATCCTGGCACGCCAGACATTAGACATTTAGAAATAAGTTATCTGGGACGATATTTTAAGTTGTTACTTAATTATATTGAACCAAGATGTTTTTCAGAGGTATCTGAAACTTTGAATTTTACTTTTAATTTTAATTTTTATAGCTTATGGACTTACGCTTTTACTGATTTTCATCAATGACTTGTCATCAGTTTCCAACTATGTATTTATACAGATGACAAAAATGTATTTCTGTCAAGTCTGACAGATTTGACAACGTAAACCTGGTAACTGCTCTCGAAAAGGACCTCCACTCGGCGGTTAACTGCAACAAGAAATGGCTTGTAAATTTTAATGCACTCAAAACAAAATTGCTCTAATTTAATCACCACAACCATTTCTGTCTGGCAGATGCCAAACCTCAGGGGAGCAACACACTTCTTGGCCTCACGTTTTCCACTGACATGAAGAGTCAATATATCGAATCAACTGCTACGTCCGCTTCTAGAAAAGTTGATTCACTGTGTCGTGCCTGAAGTTTTATATCGTTAGAATCCATCTGTCACATTTGTAAATCTGCGATTCGTCCATGCAATGACTTCTTACTCCTGTCGTATATATCAAGATCCTTGACAAAATTCAAAGAGGCGTCTGTAGTGTAATCGATCCTGATTTGGCATCTCGACATCAGTCATTTTCCCACCACAGTGACGTGGCTTCCCTCTGTCTTTTCTCCACATATTTTCATGGCAATTGTTCTGATGAGCTTTCTTCCTGGTGTCTTACATAAATTAAAAAGTGCTACTGGATTAGCAATTATGTCACATTTTGTGATTAGCAATTATGTCACATTTTGTGATTAGCAATTATGTCACATTTTTCAAAAATGCTGAACTAGATAAATGCAACCGCCACTTCTATTCGAATAGTTTCTTTTCTCACACTTCTTACCTGTGGAACACCTTTCCGATTTCTTGCTTCCCTGCCAACTGCAATCTATATAGATTTAAATGCACCGTCAATCGCCAACTTCTGTCTTTATGAACTCTTTATTATCCATTCCTCACTCTCCTCCCACCAAAGTCTTCTCATTCACTTTTACTCAATGTAACCCCCGCTGCATCTTAGTGACATTATCAGCTTCCTTAAGGTGAAAGGATTAAAAACTATGCAAGTGGAATGCTGAAAGGCGTGAGCTAAGCATTAGAGACCCCAGATTCAAATACAGAAATTTAAGTAAACGTGAACGTACATAAAGCAGGAAAACATCTGAAAATACAGTGAAACCCGGATATAAGAGAGTTGTCGGGACCCGAGAAGAAGTCTCTTATATCCGGGTTTCTCTTATATCCGGGTTTCGTCTATTTTGTTTACATTATCACAGGCTCTAATTTGGGACCAGAGAAAATCTCCCTTATATCCGGGTTTCTCTTATATCCGGGTCTCTTATATCCGGGTTACACTGTATATGAACAAATACATATGTCCATTTGGTGGCTGTAATAGTTAACTATCTATCACTGACCTCAGCAATCGGTGTTCACGCCTACCCAGGATTTTGCATGATTATTCTGAAGACAAGCAATCATTCCTCATTTGGATGATAAGCGTAAGACCAAATTCGTACAATTGCATTTTGTTCTCTCTGTATTGGCCGCTCTGAATCCCCTGTAAAAGGGTAAATACCCCACCAAAAGGAGTCATCTTTCGAGTGGCTATTTGCAAACTCGTGTATAAATCTATATGTTTTTCTCTGCCCCTCTTGGCTTTTTTTATCTTTTAACTATATCTCCTAAACCCTTTTCTGTCATCCATTTATACACGCTCGTTAGGTAGATTATAAGATGTTTTCTTCTTTTCATCTTGCCTTCAATCTATCCTATGAGGATCAAATTTTCCAAGCCCACTCTCCTCATTATGTGCCCTAGAAATTTGAATTGTCTTTTCCTGATGTTCTGTATAAGTGTCCTTTTTGCTTTGTTTTTATTTTCTCTAAAACCTCATCGTTGCTCATCTTTGAGCTGCTTGTCCATCACTCACTGCCATACAGAAGGATAGACGTCACGCAACAGTTTAGTACTCTTTTTCTTGTTTCTAGCGCTGATATTTTTCTTCGCACAGAGCTAGACAAGTGTAGTTCGAACGCTCAATGTTAATGAAATGGTCAGCGAAACAAGTTTGCTCACTAACACCCCATAATAGTCACTCTATGTTAGGCATCTTATTCTCTATACAAAAGTTATTTATTTTTCAACATAATCCACTTCCTTGTCAACGAAACAAATCCAACCTAAACCTATCGTAATCAAATAGAGCAAACATTATACAATGAAAATTGAGAATGTATAGTAACAAATAAAGCCACATGCTCACTCACCTGTCCCTAATCCCCGCTTCGTGATGGTTAACTCAACTTGACAGGGTTTGTTAACAACATGTTACTCTCAAGTGTTCGATCCTCATTGCATGCCCATTTCTTTGGTCCTGTACGAAGACCAAGATATATAAATAAACTTTCCCGTCAAAATCCATCTTACACATGTATAAATCTATTATTCTTCCGTTCATTGAATATTGATCTGGTCTGGTTTTCTCTGCTATATAACTCGATATTTCCGACAAAATCCCAAGAAGAGTCTGAAATATAATAGGTCCTGACCTGGCATCTCGACTTCAGTCATTTTCCCCCCTGCCATAACGTGGCTTCTCTCTATCTTTTTCTATAAGTATTTTCATGTCATTTGTTCTAATGATCTTTCCTCTTTGGTACCTCGTCTGCATGAATTTCATCGTACTACTAGATTGGCAGTTAGGTCTCATCATTTTAACGTTGAAATACCTAGTTCTAACCGTCAGTTATATTGTATTAGCTTAATTTCTCGGACTTCTCGCCTGTGGAACTCACTTCCGGTTTCTTGATTCCCTGCCACCGACATCCATCAAAAATGCAAATGTAACATTAATCAAAGTCTTCTGTCAGCATCCTCTACCAAACGATCCAAAAGACAGGGCGTACGTTGAACCTTTTAAAAAGAGAAATGATTGTCTGGAGTTTGAACGAATGCAGCGATGGAACCAACATTGGATCCATCATAAAAATTCAGAATTTTAAGTTAGTAAATAACAAATACCCCTTTGCATGGATCAGTTATAACGACTTTAGTACAGGAGAATAGGAAATTAAACAGAGAATGGATTCGCCAACACCACAAGTTGCTACTAAACTGAAACGATAACTTAAAACTCGAGACATGCAAAAAACTACGCCAGATCGAGGCTTTCGCGTGGATGTCATGCATGGCACCAAAGATGTTACGAATTATCTGGACTGTTATTATTATTATTATTACAAATAAATATTACAAATTACAAAAATGCTTTCAGATTG